AGGAGGCCCGCGCGCGGCCCGGCCGCTCTGTACACGGCGCCGGCGGCTGCGTGTTCAAGTCCCCGGGCTCGGCCGCTCGCGGCAGGTCCGGGCCCGGTGCCGCCCGGGGCTCCTGCAGTCTCTGCCTGTTCGTGTGGGTCAGGTGCAGCCCCGGCCCTCGCGCGTCTTCGCACGGCGCCTCCATGACCCGCAGCCCGTCGCCTGTCCAGGCGGGACCCGAGTGGCCTTGCGGAGCATCCCGGGCTGGGACACCCCGCGCTGGCTCGCACCAAGGGGCCGGTGACATCTTAGGCAGGGCTAATGCTGCGCTAGCCGCTCCGGTGCAGCCCCCAGCCCCGAGCCGTCGACTCGGGGAAGGAAAACGGCGTTTCCAGCCCTGCAGCTTCCTGTGGCACCTCCCGCTTCCCTCCCGCGGCTGCTGCTCCGCGCTCGGCACCGCTGACGGTCTCGGGGTGCTGCCCTGCTCCTACCCTGGGACTTGTTGGGGCACCCGGTCCCTGGCTCTTGCTCCCTCCTAGCTTGATGCTGTTTAGGGGTAATTGGGGTTGGGGTTGCAAAAGCTGGTAGTGTGGGGGGGTAATGTGGCAATTGGGGGGGGGGGCAAAGCCCCTGCCCTGCTCACTGCATGGCTGGTGACACGGCGGTGGCGCCTGCGGAAGGTTCCCTCCCCAACAAGGGCCATGCGCAGGGCAGGTGGTTGTGACACTGCTGGGCCTACGGGCACAGACAGGGACCCATGAGGAGCCCTGGGAGCTGCAAGCCGGCCTGTCCTGCACCCCCTGTGCAGTGCGGGAGCCTCAGGGGAAAGTAGGGTGAAAAACGTGCCCGAAGGCAGCAAGGTGGGACCAAGGGCTGGGGGGACAGAGGGAAGGGGCTGCTGATGCCTGGGGAGGGCAGGGTGGTGAGAGCAGCTGCGGGGTTCAAACCTCCCCACCTCGAAACTAACATTCAGCAAGTGCAGGTGGAACCTCAACAGGCAAAACCTGCCCCAGAGGGAGGAGAGGGGCCCCGCGAGCAGCCGGCAGCATCGTCCTCAGTGGGATGTTGAGGAGCTGCTTGGTTGGTGGCTGCTCGCGACCCTGCTCCAGTGGGATGGGGAAGGGGAGGGGAACGTGGGTGCTGCTGGAGCTGGGGGAAGAGGGATGAGCGGAGGGAGCAGAACGCGCAGCTGGGCAGGAGGAGCCTCCCCGTGAGGTCCACAGCATCTCCAAGGGGCACGGCCGGGACCCCGGGGCTCCGCTCACAGGGGCTGAGCGAGTGTAATCCCAACGTCCACACCGCCCCATCCCCGCTCTGTGCCCCAACCAACTGCAAACCCAAAGAGCCGCGGGCTCGTGCCTCTCTGCAACCAAGCAAGCCAAGCCCGCGGGGCTCACCCAACGCTCCCCTCGGCCGCAGGGCTCTCCAGCTCTGCTCCAGCACCGCCCGGAGGCTGGCGGGACCCTCCGCGTCCCGGCCTCCGCATGAACCATCCACAGCAGCGACCTTCCCAGCGTGCCGGCCCCCGGGGGGGCCTCCGCAGCACGGCCATTCCGGGGTGGGTTGAAGACGTGGCGTTTTATTGTTCATTGTGGGCCGGGCGGCGGCGGCGCCGCGTGGCCAGGGCTGCCTCCGGAGCGGGGTCTCCCGCCGCAGCCGCCTGCGTTACTCACTGAGGGGGCTCTCCTCCCCGCTCGGCCCCCCTCAGCCCTCCTGGGCCCACTTGAGGAACGTGGGGATGTCCCGCACGGGCACGTTGCGGGTCAGCGCTTTCACTCGCAGGTTGCGGTCGTCCGTGAGCAAAACCACTTCCCTGAGCAAGCGGATCGGGTCATCTGGAATGAGAGGGACACCCGAGTGAAGCCTGGAGCTGCTCTGCCCCCGGCCCTGGCAGTCACGCCACCTCTCTCATGGCCATCCCATGCCAAGGGGGCTGCTGCTCCTGCTCCTCAAAGACCTCCTAGCCCCTTGCTCTGGCTCGGACACCTGCCCCTTGCACCTTCCCGGAGCCGGGAACGCCGGGACGCAGAGGCAGGGCTCAGCGGTACCCACTGCCCGCGCCAGGGTGGTGCACAAAGCCAGGGAACAGGAGGTACCTTTGCCTGACCCAGGCCAGGAAAACGGCCCGCGACCCTGGTTCCAGCAGGAAGCTGGTGCTATTATTCTGGTGATCTCATTATAAGATCTAAAACGAACCCTTATTTTGAGCTTTTGGAGTAGCCACTGACACCGAGGCGTTTCTGGCTTCGGCTCAGACAGGCAGAAAGAGCTGAAGCCTGAGAAATAACTGAAAGGATCTTGCCCCCAGATGGATGAGCTGCCCTGCACGCAACGCGCCGGGCTGGGGATGTGGGAGCTGCGCTTACGTGTGTGTGAAGCAGGGGAAGCATATGGGGTATGTGTAAGCAGCTGGGTCCTGTGACCAGAGCACTGTTCCTATGAGCACAGGAAACACAGTGCCTCCGAGCCAGGACTGGAATGGAAAAAACAGAGTTTATGGGAGCCCAACATGGGCCCAGATTGGCTGCGCTGGGAGCAGCAGGCTGAGGGGAAGGGGAGGTTCAGGAGGAGCGCGGAGCCGAGCGCGGAGCCGGGAGGCCGGGATGGCCGGGCTGCGGAAAGCGGGAGCGGGAAGTTTTGTGCGGACACTTTAAGAAATGTGTAACAATAAACATCCTCTGCTCGGCGCGGGTGACGCGCCTCCTTGTTACAAACCAGAGGCTGTCAGCTTGTCAGGCCCCATTCGCCATAATCCACATGATTTCAAAATTCAGCATCATTTACACATAAACATTTGGTGACGGTTTCTCTGTGAATCTGACAAGTTAAGCTGCTAAGAATTCGCACTGACAAATGTGGGTTGATTTCTTGGGCAGCTGCTGATATAATTCCCATTCCCAGCGCCCTGGCAATGGCTCTGCGGTCGTCTGGTCCTAGTACGTCCTGCCAGATGCCAACAGGCCATCGGGAGGCAAAAGGCTCGTGGGGAACAGGCCCTTTCCTACCGCCTGGGCTGCATCCCGCGTGCAACGTCCCCTGCTCCTCTGGGCACGGCAGCGGCAGCAGGAGATGGGCTCAGCCCAGGCAGGTTGTATCTGCCATTCCGGCTCTCACAGGAGGTGAGGTGACCCAAACGAGTGGTTTTCCAGGCTTGGTGCACACTTTGGACCTCTTAATGGTTGTCCCAGCCCAACAGAAGCTGAGGAGGTGGACATGCACGCAGGCTAACGGCAGGATTGATAACGTTAAAAGCAAGCAGGGGCCCTGGCATCAGGCTGGCTATAGCAAAAGAGCATTTCAAGGAAGGATCTGAGGGGAAGAAGTGGCTCTGCAGACATTTGCAGGGTGCTTCTCCCAGGCTGGGCATCACAGGGGGCACAGTGAGGTGCGCATTTGTAAAAGCAATATGAGGGCAAGAGCCTGGGGCTGATTGGAGGCAGGAGGTGACACCTCGGTGTTGAAAGAGGCAAAATGTAGGAGGGTTTGGCTCAAAGGGCCATGAAAGAGAAAAACAAGGTGCCTGTGGGATGCAGCAGGGCAGGGACAAAGGTGGCACGAGGATGTTATACCTTTGTTAGCGGGCATGAAGTCCTTGGCCTTGTCATTGCAATAGTGGAGACAGCAGGATAGAATCAGGTCGTCGTTGTTTCCCTGGAAGAAAAGGGCACTATTATGCCTGGCAGGAGAAAAGCTACGCAGCCCCCCCGCTCCCTTAATGTCTACATTGCTCTCTAAAAGCTGTGTCACAGCTCGGCAGGGACTCTCCATTCAGGACAAGCAGAGCCCAGGGATGGGGGCTCTGGTTGCCCTCTGGAAGGCTGTGGAGAAGAGCCCCCCAGGCCCAGAGCTTGCGCTGGCCGGGGTCCCCCTTACCTGCTGGCCCGTGGTGTCTTCGCTGCGGAAGGAGATGGACTCCAGCTCGTTGCCTCGGCTGGTCAGAGCCCTCAGGCAGTTGTCACGGCTCTCGAATCGCTCCTCCAGGAACTCGATGGACTTCCTGGCTCTCTCCTGCACTTGGCGGGCATAGCCTGCAGCCCGGTGCTCCATCTCCGGGCCCTTGGCCAGGCCGTCCAGCTCGTTTATCACTTCAAACAGGAAGAGGAGGTACAGTTACTATGCGACAAGGTGCTGCCGTGACCTCCTGCTCAAGTGCACGAGTTGCCAAGGCCTCGGGGCCAGGGCACAGGGAGCTGGCTCAGGAAATCTGGGTTCAGCTGCCGCAGTGTCCCCGTGCTCCCGGACTTGGCTGCTGCTCTGGAAAAGCTTCGCTGCCTTCCCAGCTCTGCGTGTCACCTGGCCGGGCCCTGGCGCCGCTGGCCCGCCCGCCGCGTGCCGGGCACTCTAGCTAAGGGCATCCTGCTTTTCCCAGTGCCACATCCCTCCTACATGCTTCCCACTGGCTCATGGTACCCCCCTGAAGCGTGAGCAAAGGCAGAAGAAAAATGCCACCCCTGGGGGGTCTGACTGTGGCATCTCCTGGCTGCCTGGCTCTGTGTCCTCCTCTCTGCTCGCTCATCTCAGCGCCGAACGCTGCTGCGACGGGGCTGCGTATGCGAGGAAGGTCACCCTCGGGAGCAGGCAGTTCTCACTTTCCCTCGGCTTCCCACGCGAGCCCCATTTTCACACCTGAAGCTGCCGTTCCCCGCAGGGGTGGCTGGAGCGGGGCAGATGCTCTTCAACACCTCACCCATCTGGGGCTGCTCCAGGGTTTGCACATCTGTCCTCACACATGCTGCTAAGATGTGAGAGCCTCCGGTTTAGCCGAGCGGGCTGCGCCCGCTCGGCTAAACCGGAGGCTCTCACATCTCAGCGTCCCCCGTGCCCCTCCTGGGGCTGCACAAGGGCTCTGGGGACAGCAGCGTCGCTCCGCGTCCCCGTTGCATCCCGCGAGCGCGATGCACGCGAGCGCCGGGGCGCACGTGTGCGCGCGAGGCAGCCGCTGTGTGTGTGTGTGTTTTAGCCATGGCTTCATTTCTGAAGATTGTTTCCGAGCTTGGAGCCAAGTCCTGAGTTCAAGTGGGAACTATGCATTCCTTGGGGGTTCAGGGAGAGAGCTCGGGGTCTGAGGCCTCTCCCCAGTGCTGTGAATCACTGCCCGGGGAGCCTGCGTGATCGCTCTGTTCCATGGTGAGGCTGGCACTCACTGTCTGGGTATTCCAATTAAAGCTGCTTTGCTCCTCGCTCTCAGGCGACTCCTCTTGCTACTGCTTTTAGCGACCTGATGCTGCCATTTCCACACAATGCACGGCTGGGTGAGGGGTGGGGGGAGCCGTGCAAGAACGGAACATCAAACAGGAAAAGCTGGTATTCCCTCCCGAAATCCGCCTTCCTGCTTCCAAGCTAAACAGGCTTCAAAGGGGAGGCTTGTTTGTGCTTCTGCACCAGGCCTGGCTTCTCCATGGCGGGGTCAGCCTCAAGGAGCACGGAGCAGGTTAAAGAGCAAGAGAAACAAACGGAACGCGGAGCTGCCTGCTTAACCCCTTGCTGCATCCCCGGGAGGAGCGCGGCGAGTGCCCTGGGACCGGGGACAGGCACGGACGGGGGCTCTGCAGCAACGGGACACCGCACCGAGGCCTCTGCCCCCAGCGGACAAGTTCCTCCTCCCCACGCTCGTTCTCATCTCCGATGGCCTCCCCGGGGGCACGAAGGGGAATTCAGGGAAGAGCCTGCCCAGACACAGACTGTTTAGCTGCAGGGCAGAAGCAGGGGCGGCTCTTGGCAGGCTGGGGCTGTGAGGCTCCGCGGTCCCCGGCGCAGGGGACGGGGCAGGACAGGGGACAGCAGCTCTCGGTGCTGTCCCCGCGTCTCCTCCCGGGCCAGGCCAGGCCGGGCACATCCCCATTTTGCAGGTTCAGGGACTGGCAGGGTTTTGAGCTCTGCTGCAAGACGCTCGCCCTGGCCGGGGCTGGGATTAGCG